CACAAAGGTTCCCACCTTGCTCAACGGCACCACCACAATGCAGAGGAGGAGGAAGGTGGTGGCTGTTATTGCTACAGGATGCTCTCCTCTTGCCAGAAAATACCTGCTGTTGTAGAATACACTACTCGCAATTTCTCTGCTCCAGCTTCTACGGCTCTTTGTCCTCGCTCCTCAGCAGGAGGAATTTAACTCTGGATTAGGTTGTGAGCAGATATAGGATGAGGTATCTGCTTCTCCTAATTGGGCAAGACATGCCAGGAATGATTGGAAATGCCTGGTAGGCAGGATGTAGCCTGCCACCTGACAGTTTGATGATGCTAAATTAGAGGAACACACACCATAAATGTATACGTTTAATTGTAACACGTTTTTCTGCCTTCTCCCTGCTGCCTGCTCACTTCAGCTGTCACCAGTCCACCAACTCTCCTGGCAGTGGATAGTGTGACTGATACCTCAGTTACAATGAAATGGAGGCCACCAGACCACATCGGAGCGGCTGGGTTAGATGGCTATGTTGTCGAGTACTGCTTTGAAGGAAGTAAGTGGCAACGACTGCGGTATGTTACTCACAGTGAAAGTAGGTGAGACTTTCTCCATTTTTGCTCTGCAGGTGTCAGGTACTCTTACTTTAAGGCAGAGACTAATCAGTCAGAAAATCTCAAGCAGCACGGTTGTGTTCGGGCTTCCTTTGGTCTGTATTCCAGATCCTGCCTATTAATTGTAGTTGAACCCATTTAACATTCAACCTGAAATCCAAATTGAAAGCCATATAATATATCACAGAGTACCAAGTACTGTCTTAATCCCTACCCTCTTTTTTGAACTAAATGAAGAGTCAGTACAGTAAAGAGTGGATGGATGAATGAATAGGAAATAACGAATGGCCCTAAGCGTGGTCCAAAATATGCGCAGGTTGGCTGGGTTTTAGGGACAGGAGGTCCTCAGTGTGGTAATCCCTGTTTTGACATTGCTAATTGGCTACTTCGAGTGCCAGTTCCCAGTACTGAGGACAGATAGCCTCCCCAATAGCTGGCTGTAGAAGTTATTTAGGCATGCAAAGTTCACATCTGGATATTGAATTTCTCTGTTTCAGTGTAGTTAGATACAGGATCTTTAACTATGCCCATCTAAGACATAAATCTATACAGAACTGAAGGAGAAAGATAAAGATGTAAGAGACTGAATAGACTTTTGAGAGTAAAAGAACAAGGAATAGGGCAACATAATTTATGTTTTACAATTAAGAGTCTTTAGCAATCAAGCAGCAGAAACTTAGTATTTTCCAGCAGATTTTCCTCTGAACCGACATCAAATGAATGCTATTTTCAAAAAGTAAAATCCACCAACTCCCGGGTAAGTATCAAATAGCCTGGAGTGGTATGTGTAATACCCAGCCTCTGTGGGCAAATGCCAATCAGCGGGACTCCAGCAATGTTGCGTGTTTGGATGAATGGGACACAGTTATCTTCGACTTCGCTAGCTGCTGCCCTCAACTGCACTGTAAATCAAGTGATGATTTTTTTCACAAAGAGACTGATTTCAACAAAAGCTTTTCATTAATGCAGTCCACAGCCTGGAGACAACAGGTAGAGGACAGAACTTGTCAATCACACTGTCACGTGTTTCAGATTCAGACAATCCAGGAAAACAGTAGTTCACAAAAGTGGTCAGATACCAGAGGAGCAGAGTGCCCTCAGCTCTTACTCAGGCGAGTGGGAGAAGGAATGAAGAAGAACCACTGGCTTTTCTCAGGAGCACTCAGCATCTTGTAGTATTGAGCTGAATGTCTGTAAGGAGCAGGAACAAACTGCAAGAAGCTCAGAGGTCTGGAGAAGATTACCTGAAGGCAGACACAGCTGGAATGGTAGGAAGGGTTTTCCTTGTATATTGGGAGGGACCTGCGGGAACAGCTCAGAACAAGTAAGCATGCAGTCTTGCATCAAGATGCAGCATTCCTATAATGTTTCCATTGCACAGGAAAGATGTACGGGGATATAAAGGGGACTGTTACTGTGAGGGTTTTGGTGTATGCTGGATCTTATGCTCTGTTTAGCATTGGTAGGATGGCGGGGGCAAAGTTAAAAGTGTTTGTAATATGTCACTGTCATAAAACCCCTGACAGTACAGTGTGTGATTTCCAAATTAGGTGACGAGAGGATAAGAAATATCTATATGCTAATGCATACTATGGTGTTCAGAGGACTCTTACAAATCTATCTTTTAAGGACTATTAGACAGAAGATCATTGTGTACCTGTTGAATGGAACAAATTCTTTACTTTTTTTTTTCAGATAGGTTTAAAACGTATGAAGATACAACAAAATGGCAGTCAACTGTCATTTTATTGTTACCCACCTCAGTTAAAATACAATGGGTACAATGTATTTTACATAGCTTTCTGAGTGTTTATGTATATCTATATATGCCTCCTATATATGCATATACAACTATATATACACAATTCACATTATTTATGTATATATGTTATGAAAATGGTTAGGAAGAAGCAAGCTTTGCAGAAAATACCAAGTAAAAAAGACGTGTTATTGGAATATGCATCCTTTTCTCTATGTTCAGTCTTTTTCTTCTTTCTTCCAATATCTCAGTGCCTCCTTTTCTCAGTCCTTTCAGTGCCTGTTCTGCCTCAAACTAATTTCTTCTATACTGTTTAATAATTCTTTTTAATTTCAGGGTACTTTTTATTACTGTCTATATTCATTCTGCTGTTCTTTTCTTCTAGTTTTCTGTTTGTAAACTCATTTGTCTTCATCTTCTCCATTTTTTATCGTTGTCACTGAAGCAGTTTTAAAGAGGGCTTTTTTGAGACTTCCTTATCATAGCAATCATTAGGTGAAATCACAATCTGAAAATAGGAAGACAAAAAATATGTATAATTATCATTTAGAAGAATCATGTACCATGAGCATTGGTTTGGTTTCGTGAAAATTGGTATTTGCCTTTAGTCTGAACCTCATAACTTGATCAACATGATGGACTCTAGGACTTCCTTAACTATGGTAGTACCTTTGATAGCTTACTGTGTATATTACTGAATTGGAGTCTCATCATGAATATATGGATCATAGGTATGAATAATGTGAATACAGAACTCCCCTTCCCAGGGTTAGTTTACAACATCTAACTTGAACCTCTTGCTGTGGTAATGTGGAGTAGACCAAATCTTGTCATTGGAGAAGTCAATTCCTAGTAATATATGTTGCCAACTGTTTCTTGTTTGACATTTCAAGGGTAGTCCGATGAGCTTGGCCCTAGTTTTTCCTAGGACACTGTGTTTATCTGCCTTTAAAGGGCCATTGTACCTGCAGATGTTCTGGTTTTATAGCTACTAAAATAAGTAAATAAGCACTTTGGAAAGTCTCTGTTGGCTGAGATCTTAGCCAGTGTATCCATTCAGGACCGTGCACAGATACTAGACTAGTATTTATACTATCCTGAAAATAGCCGAGTCCAGGATTCCAAGAAATCCAGGGAAGTCATATCTTTGTCCAGGAAATAAAGCCTGAATGATTACATCATATCTGTCATCATCCATGGTTTTGGCCTTCTTTAATTTTCTTTCTATGTTGTCTTTAGTTAAATGTATTCTCTTGCTCTGTTTCCCCAAGTGTTTTTTTTTTCCCCAAGACTTCTCTCTTCCTGTCTCTCTCACTCAGAATGCTTCTCTGAATTTCTTCACTCTTCTATGATGTGTTTTCTTCTCCTCCTACACTTTCTCTCATCATCACATCGTTTCATTTCTCTCTCTTCCAAATGTTCCTTTTGTCTCTTTCTTTTCATCTATCCAGGGCTGTGATCAGGCCCAAAGAAAAAAACCAACCTCATCTCCCCCTCTTCCTTTATCCTTTATCCTCTGTGAGCATCATGCATAACTGTTCTTTGATCTAGATGCCCTCTTCCCACCTCTTTCCTCCCTGCAGTCTCCCTCAATATGGGTCCTCTAAATCTTTAAAGCCCAGCATCTATCTTTGCATACTTACTAACAGGAATTGCTAACCACTGACAAAATGCTCCATCTGTGTGAAAGTGGGTGTCTCTGATTAATTTTAAAGATGGATTCTCACAAGGTATATCGACAGATCTGTCTGAGGAATTGGTGGAGCCACCTTTTAACCTGGAAGGTACAGTATTCAACAAAGGATATAAATCTTCTTTAACGAAAGAAAAACTCTCTTCATAAAATTAAAGATAAATTTCTGAGAGTGAATTTTAGGGGCAATAGTCTACAGAATTCGCTGTAGTACATGTATAAGGGGAGGGGGAGGTGCTTGGGAAACAGTCATTGATTGCAATCCTCTTCTGCTAGAAGCTGAAAGAAGCAGCTTGAAGGAGAACTTAATTCCTAAAAGTAAGCCCCACAGTTATGGAAAATGTATTGCGTCCTTCACTAGCTCATAACAGTTCTCTTGTCTTCTGTGCCAATATTATAATGCTATCTTTATATTATGTGGAAGGTATTGACACCAACTTGCTACTGAATAAATCTGACTTCCAACTGTCAAGGTGCCAGTAGTGTTAAAGTGATCTGTTTAGAGGACAGGGTGGAAAAGAATATATCATTTGTAGTTGAAGCTTTTTGAAAGACTGTACTGTTTCCATCGCTCTATGGATTACATGCGACTGCCTGGGGGTAGGATAAAAAAAACCAAGAATGCTGTAATTACGTGAATAATTCTGACACCGCCTTCCTTTTTTAAAGGCACCAGAGAGATGGCATGTCATTGTAACTTGTAAATATTCTGTGTTTCTCTTATCCCTGCGATCTCAGTGGTAGTTTCAAGGATACTCAGTACTGGACTAATTGTGATACTATTGAAATTAATTGTAAAACCCATTTCTCTCCAAGGAAGCTGTTAAAGTAATGATGAGTGCTTTTGGAAATATATTCTATGTCTCCCTTGTTTTTTATCAGCCGAATTTAAAGACTAATGAGTTTTCTCTCTGAAAACTAAATGATAGACACATTCTAAAAACGTTTATTTCTCTAAATATATAATCAGTAGAAACCCTTAAAGGTTTGAAACAATTTTGCTACATATCATAAAACTGAATTAATATTATGTTACAGCATAATTAGAAAAACAAAACAGAGATATTCATGAGAACGTAATGATTCTATTACTGTTTTGTAATTTTCCTCACATGTACAGCGGATGTATTTATAATTCCCTATTCTCTTGATTCGTCCTCCCTCCTTTTTCCGCTAAACTAGCTGATGAATGGATCGTGGCTAACCCGGAGCTGACAGACAAAACAAAGTTTACTATCAATGGCCTGCCGACTGGCTCAAAAATCCTTGTGAGAGTAAAAGCTGTGAATGCTGCTGGTGAAAGTGAGCCCAGGTACCACCCACAGCCTATTTTAGTCAAGGAAGTGATAGGTAAGATCCTCCTGCCTACGCTCACCCACAAATACACTCTGCTTCCACACTGAGTTCAGTTTTTTGTAAGGCTAATACGTGTTGGAAACTGATGATACAGTCGTACAAAGCCATTGTGCAGTGGCTAGAAATCATGAAACCGTCTTTAAAAATATTGGTAATTCTTTTTATTTGTTTCACTTCTGAGCTTTTATTGCTCAGGCTTTCAAGGCTTTTTTTCCACAGAACTTGATATTGCTTTGTTTGAGTTGCACTAAGTTTCTCACCTATTCCTACCACCATAACATTTGATGTTAAAAAACCCAGTGGTGTACCACATGTAACAGTGTGGGACCAAGAAATTTAAGATACCTCACTCATTAGTCTCTTCTGGGAACTGTAGACCACAGAGTCTCCTATTTATACTGATGCTCACCAGTATTGCCTAAGTCAGACAAGAAGACCAATGTCAAACACAAGCTTTTGGCTTTTTTCAGAACCTCCAAAGATTCGTCTACCAAGACACTTAAAACAAACCTATACTCGAAGAGTTGGAGAAACTGTGAATCTCGTTATTCCTTTCCAGGTAAGAACTGAAAACACTGACAGGAAAAATACTCCTTTTTCTTATACTGCTGCTTTTTAACTTCTTCCTGTGTAACTTTGGTCAGCCAATGAGTTAACTTAAGCAGATGTGGAAGCACACAGAAGTACACAGGTGCTTGAAAGCTTTTACTTTGACATCTCAAAGAAATGATATTAAGGAAATTAATGAACTGGGTAACTAGCTTAGACAGACTGATTTGTCATCTGTTATCCTAAGGACACTTATGAATCCTTCCAGTAGATGTTATACGTGAGCTGATCGCTAGTACAATGCAAAATGGTTACACTGGCAGTATTTAGATATGGTACCAAGGGTGGGACTGTAGCATTTAATCTTTTTCTTGTCTTGAGAGAGGAAAAGGGAGTGGAAGAGTAGGCAGAGTTTCAGTCCCCTATAGAAACTGCAACTTTAAATCCCTGAGATCACAGCTATAATACGACTCTTTCCAAGGATATAGCACATGTTTGTCCACAGCATCATGTTAACCTTCATTCCCATACCCTTTTACAACAGTGACTGCCTCTTTACCTGCAGGGTCCTTGTTCTTCTGAATACAAGAATTACAGCAGAATTCATTTCTATTTCATCTCTGCACACCTGAAGATACTGGGTGGGCATAATCTGTCTTCTACAAGGCTGTTAAAAGCCTAATAAAAGCTTGATCAGCAATACGCTGCAAGATACATTGCTCTTAAGAAATTAAAGGAATATTCTATTTAATTTTTTTTCTCTAAGATAAGGGATTCGAAAGGCGTGAGATTACCCTTTTCAGGCAGCATCTGTAAATTGTTTGTCTCTGGAAGGCAAATGCTGTGGTAAAGCAGGTGGAATTCATTCTGATTTAAGTACCTAAATTGGGCACTACTAGGCCCATAAAAATGGCACACAAAAGATGTCAAACCAGCCTGCCTAACAATTATTCCAACTGCTTTTGCAATGAAAGAAGAGAGTTGGGGATCCCTGGAGGTTTCGTCCACTACTTTCCTCCTTCACTGGCAGTGTAGAGAACATACACTTTCAGGGGGTGAAATATTTCGTTCTGCATTTTCTGGGATGTTTTTTTCTCCTTTTTGTTTTAGAAAACTGGAAATTAATTGTGCAGTTTAGCCAGAATTTGAAAATATTTTCAGTCTCCTGGGAAAAAAAAAAAAAACACCACGCTGCATTTTAGGTGAATTAATATATCTCAAATGCTGTATGACTTAAAAAATAATTTTGTTTCTTTCACAGCATTTGTGAAAAATGAGAAACAAACCCATTTTCTCTCCCACTCTTTTCTCTCCCAAAATCATATGCAAATTGTTTCCTGGCTTCTTACAGGGAAGACCAAGGGCAAAAGTATCATGGCAGAAAAATGGTTCTCCAATCGACAAGAACCAAATCAACATCCGTAACACTGAAAATGACACTATCATCTTCATCCGAAAGGCAGAAAGGAGCCACTCTGGAGAATATGACATGAAAGTGGAAGTAGAGAACTTGGAGGACAAAGCAACGATAGATATTCAGATTGTTGGTATGTTTTGAGACACGGAAGTAAATGCAGGCCAGAGGAGCAGACTCCAGCCATTCCAAGGCTATAGGAAAGCAGAGGAATCCCAAAGAGCATCTCTCTCGACAGTGATAACTCTCCACATCCAATTACTTGGCTATAGATTTGTGGTCTCTAAGTAAACCTTCCTACACAATGGCAGGTGCTTGTTGGAACATGTCAGTCCCTTTTTTTTTTTCCTTCACTGTTAATGCTTTTCATGTTCTTGTCAATCCAGGATGCAAGCTTTTTCCTGTTGAGTAGTATTCATAGCCAAAAATGGTAGTAAATTCGTAGTAACTTTGTCACAAGTGCCATGTGGAAGAAATCCAAAATGTTGAAAGTACATGAAAGTAGGAAAGACAGACAAGAAAACATATTTACTTTTCATTTTTTTCAATCTATTTCTTTACATAATAGGCAAAACTGGTAGCACAGCCTTTATAATGATTCTCCGACTTTGTCTTTTAAGAACACAAATTCAACTGGTTTTAACTTTTCCAAAGTATCACAGAATTTTCAGAGTTGGAAGGGACCTCTAGAGATCATCTAGTCCAACTCCCCTGCTAAAGCAGGATTGTCCAGAGCACATTACTCAGGACTGCATCCAGGCGGGCTTTGAAGATCTCCAGAGAAGGGGACTCCACAACCTCCCTGGGCAGCCTGTGCCAGTGCTCTGTCACCCGAACTGTAAAGAAGTTTTTCCATGTGTTGGAACGGAACTTCCTATGTTCCAACTTGCACCCATTGCCCCTTGTCCTGTCACTGGGAACCACTGAGAAGAGTGTGGCTCCATCCTCCTTCAACCCACCCTTTAGATATTTGTAAGTAGTAATAAGGTCTCCCCTCAGCCTTCTCTTCTCCAGGCTAAAGAGTCCCAGCTCTCTCAGCCTTTCGTCATAAGGGAGATGCTCAAAGATAAGAGAAAAAAAAAAAAAATCACTCTGAGGGTGGTAAGGCACTGGAACAAATTGCCCAGGGAAGTTG